TTTTTTGGGAAGCCCCGGCTTCCAGCGGTGCCTCCGCACGGGAGCTCCTCATTCCCAACCCAAATCCCAAATCCTGGCAGTCCCCATTCCCCTTTATCCCCGTGGGATTCATTCCTGCATCCCGGCCCCCATTCCCTTCCCCCCCACGACATTCCCGAATCCTGGGACACAATTCCCCAAATCCCTGCAGGATTCGTTCCTGGATCCTGGGCCACCTTTCCCTCTATCCCTGCGGCATTCCCAGTATCCTGGTCCCCATTCCCATAGTTCTGATTCCAGTTCTAACTCCAGCCCTGATTCCAGCCCCAGTTCCAGCCCCAATTCCAGCCCCGAATCCAGTTCTGATTCCAGTTCTAATTCCAGCCCCAAATCCAGCCCCAGTTCCAATTCTGGTTCTAATTCCAGTTCTATTTCCAGCCCCAATTCCAGTTCTAACTTCAGTTCTAATTCCAGCCCTAATTCCAGTTCTAATTCCAGCCCTAATTCCGGACCCAAATCCAGTCCTGATTCCAGTTTTAATTCCAGTTCTATTTTCAGCCCCAATTCCAGTTCTAACTCCAGTTCTAATTCCAGCCCCAATCCCAGCCCCGATTCCAGCTCCAATTCTAGCCCTGATTCCAGTTCTAATTCCAGCCCTAATTCCAGCCCCAAGTCCAGTTCTAATTCCAGTTCTAATTCCAGCCCCAATTCCAGTCCCATTTTCCCTGCTCCACCTGCAGGGAATAATCCCAAAATCCAGGGAATCAGGAGAGGAGAGGGAATCCCAAAATCCAGGAAATTGGGAGAGGAGAGGGAATGAAATCCCAAAATCCAGGGAATTGGGAGAGGAGAGGGAATCCCAAAATTCAGGGAATGGGGAGAGGAGAGATCCCAAAATCCAGGGAATCGGGAGAGGGAATCCCAAAATTCAGAAAAACGGGAGGGGGAATAATCCCAAAATCCAGGGGAACTGGGAGTGCTGGGATTGGGAACTGGGATCCCTGGCACTGGAAAACTGGGAGTACTGGGATCGGGAACTGGGAGTGCCGGCACCCAGGGACTGGGATCCCCAGGACGGAGTTACTGGGAATACTGGGAATACTGGGACGCCCGTTCTGGGGTTACTGGGAGCCGATCCCAAATCCCTGTCCCGTGTCCCGGTCTCTGCCCGCTTTTCCAGGGCCCTTCCCGGTGCCCATTCCCGGCTCCTCTCCCGTCCCTTTCCTGCGGCTCCAGAGAGGATTTTCCATGGATTTTCTGTGGATTTTCCATGGAATTTCCAAGTATTTTCTGTGGATTTTCCATGGATTTTGGAGCCGCCTCCGGCGGGCTCTGCTGTCCCTGCAGCTCCTCGGCATTCCCGCTCATCCCGGGAGTGGGCAAACACCGGGATAAACCCGGGAATCGCTGGGATAAATCAGGGAATCGCTGGGATAAACCCGGGAATCGCCGGGATAAATCAGGGAATCGCCGGGATGAACTTGGGAATCAGCAGGATAAACCCAGGAATCGCTGGGATAAACCCGGGAATTGCTGGGATAAACTTGGGAATCATTGAGATAAACCCGGGAATCACCGGGATAAACTTGGGAATTGCTGGGATAAACTTGGGAATTACAGGGATAAACCTGGGAATCGCTGGGATGAACCTGGGAATCGTTGAGATAAACTTGGGAATTGCTGGGATGAACCTGGGAATCACTGGGGTAAACCCAGAAATTGCCAGGATAAACCTGGGAATTGCCGGGATAAACTTGGGAATCACTGGGGTGAACCTGGGAATTACTGGGATAAACTTGGGAATCGTTGAGATAAACTTGGAAATTGCTGGGATAAACCTGGGAATCAGCGGGATAAATCAGGGAATCGCCAGGATAAACCGGAATGGCTGGGGTAAACCCAGGAATCTCCGTTTTTTTTGGGAAGCCCCACACGGGAGCTCGTCATTCCCAGTGTGGATCCCGAATCCCAGTCCCCATTCCCTACATCCCCATGGAATTGGCGCTGCCCCGTGGCACGGCTGCCCTCCAACGCCGCCGCCGCCGCCGCCGCCGCCGGCCTCGCCGAGCAGCAGCACGTTGCCCAGGTGCGAGATGTAGCTGGAGGCGAGGCGCAGCGTCTCGATCTTGGAGAGCTTCCTGTCGGCCGGCTCGGTGGGGATCAGCGTGCGCAGCGCCGTGAACGCCGTGTTCACCGAGTTGGTGCGGTCCCGCTCGCGGGCGTTCGCTGTGTGCCGCTGCCGCGGCTCCCGGGCCAGCCGCCCGCGGCTCTTGCCGCTGCGCCGCTTGCCGCCCGGCATGCCGAACGCGGCGCCCTCCATGTGGAAGGGCTTCTCCTCCGAGCCCGAGCTCTCGCTGTTCTCCTCGTCCTCGGACAGCGCGCTGATCTCGGGGTACAGGAAGCGCCCCGGGGCCGAGCGCAGCATGGCGAAGGACATGCTGGAGAAGCGGGAGTGCCGCCGGGAGAGCGGGGCAGCCGCGGGGCGCTCAGCTGCGGCCGCTCATGGCTCTCGCCGATCCGCTCGGGGGGTTTTATCCCGCTCCCGCCCCGGCTTTTGGGGCTCTTACGCCGCTTTTACGCCGCTTTTATGCCGCTTTTATGCCGCTTTTTAGGGGTTTTGTCGCGCTGGTTCAGGTCTAGTCCGGGTTTTATCCCGGTGGCCGAGGGGTTAGATCGCGGGTTTATCCCGGGTTTGGGGGTTTCTATCCCGGTTTGCGGGCGGTTATCCCGGTTTATCCCCGGGTTTCGGGCTCGCCGCCGCTCCCGGCGCACGTGCGCATCCTCCGGGAGCCGCGGGCTGGAATTGCGGGGTTTTTATAGCGGCGGGAATGGGCGGCGCGGCCCCTCCTCCGGGCCCGGCTGCCTGGGAGAGGGAGCCTTTGGAAAGGGGAGCCCCAGGCCCGGCCTACCTGAGCTCACCCTCCGGGCCGGCCTTAACCCCTTCCTGCGCCACCTTCCCGCAGAGCTCGCCGCTCCTTTCCCGCTTTCCCTTTTGCTCCCGACCTGTTTTCCCCATAAATTCCCTTGTCCCAACCCCAAAGGTCAGCGGAGCTGCCAGGGGGGCTCTGGGATCCCTCTGGAATTTTCCCCCCACCCGAAACTCAAACTCGCCGCATTCGCTGCGACTTTCCCGGTTTTCCCCATAAATTCCCCTGTCCCAACCCCAAAAGTCGCCGGAGCTGCCAGGGGGGCTCTGGGATCCCTCTGGAATTCCTCTCCCACCCAGGACTCGCTGCATTCCCGGGGAATTCTCCTGCTCTTTCCCGGTTTTCCCCATAAATTCCCCTGTCCCAACCCCAAAAGTCGCCGGAGCTGCCAGGGGGGCTCTGGGATCCCTCTGGAATTCCTCTCCCACCCAGGACTCACCACATTCCTGCTCTTTCCCGGTTTTCCCCATAAATTCACTTGTCCCAACCCCAAAGGTCTCCGGAGGGGCTCTGGGATCCCTCTGGAATCCCATTCCCCAACGCGGGACTCGTATTCCTGGGGGATTCTCCTGCTCTTTCCCGGTTTTCCCCATGAATTCCCTTGTCCCAACCCCAAAGGTCCCGGGAGGGGCTCTGGGATCCCTCTGGAATTCCTCTCCCACCCCGGACTCGCATTCCCGGGGAATTCACCAATCCTTTCCCGGTTTTCCCCATGAATTCACTTGTCCCAACCCCAGAGGTCCCGGGAGGGGCTCTGGGATCCCTCTGGAATTCTGCCCTCGGCTCCGGCTGGAGCCAAGGGAATTCTCTCCCCACAACACTCTCCCGGTGTCCCGGTGATCCCATCCCGAGGATTCCCGGAGGGTTTTCCATGCCGGGATGGCACCGCTGGGAATTGGGAATTAACCCCGGGAAGGAATTGGGAATTAACCCTTGAGGAGCCGCCGCTGGGATCTGCTGGAATTCTCTGCCCGGGGAGAGCTGGGAGGGAATGGGAGCAGAGAATTCCAGAGGTGTCAGGTGCCATTCCCTGTCCCATTCCATGGGGGCAGCTCCCGACATCCCGGGGTGTTCCTGGGATTCTGGGGCAGCCCTGCTTCCCTGCCAGGCAGGAATTCCTTCCCAAAAATCCCATAAATCCTTGCCCTGGTGCTGTCCCTCCAGCCTGCATCCCAAACCCCTCTGCGGCTCTCCCAGAAAACCCTCTGGAAAGGCCCTGGGATCTCCCGGGATTCCCCTGCTCCTCCAGCTCGGGATTCCCGGGATCCACCCCATGGAATCCCCAGAGTATCCCGAGCCATCCCTAAACTCGGGGGATCCAGGAACCCCCCCATCTCCAGGCTGCCTCATCCCACCCCCAAACTCCAGGAATGTCCCGTCCCTGAGGCAGACCAGCATTCCCGGCTGGAAAAAGGCTGGAATGGCCGTTTTCCTGAGCTCCCCCCGCTTTTCCAGCGGCGCCTCCCAGGAGCTCCGCGCGGGAGGTTCATTCCCGGCCGGAGCGCGGCACCTTCCGTGCGCTCCCGCACTTAATCCCTGTCTCGGCAGCTTCCGAAATCCAACCTCTGTCATCCCCTTCCCGGCCCTCTGGAAGCTCCCGGGGCCATCTGCTTTCGTTTAGCGCCGGGAGCGATCCCGCGCCGCTGCCCCGGCACCTTCCAGCCGGCAGAATTCCCGGGAAAAGGCCGGGCCCCGCTGAGCCCGGCCCGGCTTGGGGCTGGGAATGATCCCCGCGGGCACGGGGGGGGATCCGAGCTGGGCTGGGGGTGCAGGGAGTCCCGAAATCCGTGGGATCAGGGCCAGAATCCGTGGGATCGAGGCCAAAATCTGTGGGATGGCGGCCAAAGTCTGTGGGATGGCGGCCAAAATCCGTGGAATAGCAGCCAAAATCCGTGGAATCGCAGCCAGGGATGTGGGGATGATCGTGGGCAGAGGCTGGGGGCACAGGGAGTCCCAGAATCCATGGGATGATAGCCAAAATCCATGAGATCATGGCCAAAATCTGTGGGATCACAGCCAAAATCCATGAGATCACGGCCAAAATCCAGGGAATCACAGCCAGGGATGAGGAGATGATTTGGGGCACAGGGAGTCCCAAAATCCATGGGATCACAGCCAAAATCCAGGGAAGCACAGCCAAAATCTGTGGGATCACAGCCAAAATCCATGATATCATAGCCAAAATCCATGAGATCACAGCCAAAATCCAGGGAATCGCAGCCAAAATCTGTGGGATCACAGCCAAAATCCAGGGAATCACAGCCAAAATCTGTGGGATCACAGCCAAAATCCAGGGAATCACAACCAAAGACAAGGAGATGATTTGGGGCACAGGGATTCCCAAAATCCATGGAATTGCAGCCAGGGATGTGGAGGTGATCATGGGCAGGGGTAGGGGTGCACAGGGAGTCCCAAAATCCGTGGAATTGCAGCCAGGGAGAAGGAGATGATTTGGGACACTGCCAGAATCCAGGGAATTCTGGCAGAAGATGACTGGGGGCACAGGGAGTCCCAAAATCCGTGGAATTGCAGCCAGGGATGTGGAGGTGATCATGGGCAGGGGTAGGGGTGCACAGGGAGTCCCAAAATCCATGAGATCAAAATCCGTGGAATTGCAGCTAAAATCCATGGGATCAATTCTGGCAGAAGATGACTGGGGGCACAGGGAGTCCCAAAATCCGTGGAATTGCAGCCAAAATCCATGGAATTGCAGCCAGAGTCACAGCTATGGACACAGGGATCAGGAGCACAGGGATTCCCAAAATCCATGGAATTGCAGCCAGAATCCATGGAATTGCAGCCAGGGTCATGGAGGTGATTGTGGGCAGAGGCTGGGGGCACAGGGAGTCCCAGAATCCATGGAATTGGAGCCAGAATTTATGGAATCCTCCAGGGTTTCCCTGGAATTCCCTTACGATCTCCCTGGAATTCCCTGGAATTCCCTCACCCTTTCTCCACGGATTCCCTGGAATTCCCTCACGATCTCCTCCAAGGATTCCCTGGAATTCCTTCACCCGTTTCTCCTGGGATTCCCTGGAATTCCCTCACCCTTTTTTCCAAGGATTCCCTGGAATTCCCTTGTCCCTTTCTCCTGGAATTCCCTGGAATTCCCTCACCCTTTCTCCACGGATTCCCTGGAATTCCCTCACGATCTCCTCCAAGGATTCCCTGGAATTCCTTCACCCGTTTCTCCAGGGATTCCCTGGAATTCCCTCACCCTTTTTCCAAGGATTCCCTGGAATTCCCTCACCCTTTTTTCCAAGGATTCCCTGGAATTCCCTTACCCCTTTCTCCAGGGATTCCCTGGAATTCCCTCACCCTTTTTTCCAAGGATTCCCTGGAGTTCCCTCACCCCTTTCTCCAGGGATTCCCTGGAATTCCCTCACCCTTTTTTCCAAGGATTCCCTGGAGTTCCCTCACCCCTTTCTCCAGGGATTCCCTGGAATTCCCTCACCCTTTTTTCCAAGGATTCCCTGGAGTTCCCTCACCCCTTTCTCCAGGGATTCCCTGGAATTCCCTCACCCTTTTTTCCAAGGATTCCCTGGAGTTCCCTCACCCCTTTCTCCAGGGATTCCCTGGAATTCCCTCACCCTTTTTTCCAAGGATTCCCTGGAGTTCCCTCACCCCTTTCTCCAGGGATTCCCTGGAATTCCCTCACCCTTTTTTCCAAGGATTCCCTGGAGTTCCCTCACCCCTTTCTCCAGGGATTCCCTGGAATTCCCTCACCCTTTTTTCCAAGGATTCCCTGGAGTTCCCTCACCCCTTTCTCCAGGGATTCCCTGGAATTCCCTCACCCTTTTTTCCAAGGATTCCCTGGAGTTCCCTCACCCCTTTCTCCAGGGATTCCCTGGAATTCCCTCACCCTTTTTTCCAAGGATTCCCTGGAGTTCCCTCACCCCTTTCTCCAGGGATTCCCTGGAATTCCCTCACCCTTTTTTCCAAGGATTCCCTGGAGTTCCCTCACCCCTTTCTCCAGGGATTCCCTGGAATTCCCTCACCCTTTTTTCCAAGGATTCCCTGGAGTTCCCTCACCCCTTTCTCCAGGGATTCCCTGGAATTCCCTCACCCTTTTTTCCAAGGATTCCCTGGAGTTCCCTCACCCCTTTCTCCAGGGATTCCCTGGAATTCCCTCACCCTTTTTTCCAAGGATTCCCTGGAGTTCCCTCACCCCTTTCTCCAGGGATTCCCTGGAATTCCCTCACCCTTTTTTCCAAGGATTCCCTGGAGTTCCCTCACCCCTTTCTCCAGGGATTCCCTGGAATTCCCTCACCCTTTTTTCCAAGGATTCTCTGGAATTCCCTCACCCTTTCTCCAAGGATTCCCTGGAATTCCCTCACCCTTTCTCCAAGGATTCCCTGGAATTCCCTCACCCTTTCTCCAAGGATTCCCTGGAATTCCCTCACCCTTTCTCCAAGGATTCCCTGGAATTCCCTCACCCTTTCTCCAAGGATTCCCTGGAATTCCCTCACCCTTTCTCCAAGGATTCCCTGGAATTCTCTCACCCTTTCTCCTGGGTTTCCCTGGAATTCCCTCGCCCTTTCCTCCAAGGATTCCCTGGAATTCCCTCACCCTTTTTTCCAAGGATTCCCTGGAGTTCCCTCACCCCTTTCTCCAGGGATTCCCTGGAATTCCCTCACCCTTTTTTCCAAGGATTCTCTGGAATTCCCTCACCCTTTCTCCAAGGATTCCCTGGAATTCCCTCACCCATTTTTCCAAGGATTCCCTGGAATCCCCTGCCCTCCCCTCACCCTTTTCCCGGTGTTTTTCCCTTCCAGGACATCCGGAACACGGTGGGGAACATTCCCATGGAATGGTACCAGGATTTCCCGCACATCGGGTACGACCTGGACGGGAAGAGGATCTACAAACCCCTGCGGAGCAAGGACGAGCTGGACCTCTTCCTGGAGAAGATGGAAAACCCGGAATACTGGTGAGGAATTCCCGGGAAGGGCCTGGAAAAACCTCGGGATGGCGGGAGGTGTCCCATGGGATGGGGATGAGCCTTAAAATCCCAAAGTGTTCCGTGATTCCGTGGATGTACTGCACACGTGGGATTTGTGTGGGCTTGGAGTTCCCAAAATTCCTGGAATTCAGGGTTCTGGAGGCTTCCTGAGGTTTCCCGGGGTGATTCTGGATTTGTGGATTTGGGATCGGGCACGGAGCCTCCCTCCCTCCCATCCAGCCTCAGCTGCATCCCGGGAATCCCTCTGCTTCCTGGGAAATTCCCTCTGCATCCCAGGAATCCATGTCCATCCCAGGGCTCCCTGCCCTGATCCTGGGAATCCCTGTCCATCCTGGGAATCCTGTCCTGCATCCCGGGAATCCTTCCCCATTCCCTCCCCATCCCGGGAATCCCTGTGTCCATCCCTGTCCTCATCCTGGGAATCCCAAGAATCCCTGTCCCATATCCCGGAATCCCGGTGTCCATCCTGGTGTCCCACATCCCACTGTCCATCCCGGTGTCCATTCCAGTGTCCATCCCTGTGTCCATCCTGGGATTCCAGTGTCCACATCCCGGTGTCCATCCCTGTGTCCATCACTGTCTCACATCCCGGTGTCCATCCCGGTGTCCATCCCAGGATTCCGATGTCCACATCCCAATGTCCATTCCTGTGTCCATCCCGGTGTCCATCCCTGTCCCCCACATCCTGGTGTCCATTCCAGTGTCCATCCCAGTGTCCATCCCGGGATTCCGATGCCCATATTCTGGTGTCCATATCCCGGTGTCCATCCCAGTGTCCGTCCCAGGATTCCAGTGTCCCACATCGCCGTCTCCATCCCAGTGTCCATATCTTGGTGTCCATCCCAGTGTCCATCCTAGTGTCCCCCCCATCCCGGTGTCCCCATGTCCTGGTGTCCACGTCCCGGTGTCCCCCATGTCCCGGTGTCCATGTCCCGGCGTGCCCCATGTGGCAGTGTCCATGCTGGTGTCCCCCATGGCAGTGTCCATGTCCCTGTGTCTCAAATCCCTGTGCCCCATGTCCCGGTGTCCCCATGTCCCAGTGTCCCCCATGTCCCAGTGTCTCCCATGCCGGTGTCCCCCATCCCTGTCCCCCATGGTGGTGTCCGTCCCCCCGCGTGCCCCATGTGGTGGTGTCCATCTGGTGTCCATGTCCCAGTGTCCCCCATGTCCATATCCCGGAATCCCGGTGTCCATCCTGGTGTCCCACATCCCACTGTCCATCCCGGTGTCCATTCCAGTGTCCATCCCTGTGTCCATCCTGGGATTCCAGTGTCCATATCCTGGTGTCCATCCCTGTGTCCATCACTGTCTCACATCCCGGTGTCCATCCCGGTGTCCATCCCAGGATTCCGATGTCCACATCCCAATGTCCATTCCTGTGTCCATCCCGGTGTCCATCCCTGTCCCCCACATCCTGGTGTCCATTCCAGTGTCCATCCCAGTGTCCATCCCGGGATTCCGATGCCCATATTCTGGTGTCCATATCCCGGTGTCCATCCCAGTGTCCGTCCCAGGATTCCAGTGTCCCACATCGCCGTCTCCATCCCAGTGTCCATATCTTGGTGTCCATCCCAGTGTCCATCCTAGTGTCCCCCCCATCCCGGTGTCCCCATGTCCTGGTGTCCACGTCCCGGTGTCCCCCATGTCCCGGTGTCCATGTCCCGGCGTGCCCCATGTGGCAGTGTCCATGCTGGTGTCCCCCATGGCAGTGTCCATGTCCCTGTGTCTCAAATCCCTGTGCCCCATGTCCCGGTGTCCCCATGTCCCAGTGTCCCCCATGTCCCAGTGTCTCCCATGCCGGTGTCCCCCATCCCTGTCCCCCATGGTGGTGTCCGTCCCCCCGCGTGCCCCATGTGGTGGTGTCCATCTGGTGTCCATGTCCCAGTGTCCCCCATGTCCCAGTGTCCCCCATGTCCCAGTGTCCATGTCCAGGTGTCCCCCATGGTGGTGTTCATACCCCAGTGTCCCCCATGTGGCAGTGTCCATCCTGGTGTCCCCCATGTCCTGGTGTCCCCCATGTTCCGTTGTCCATGTCCCAGTGTGCCCCATGTGGTGGTGTCCATCTGGTGTCCATCCCGGTGTCCCTCATGCTGGTGTCCCCATGCCCTGGTGTCCCCCATGCTGGTGTCCATCCCGGTGTCCCCCATGTCCTGGTGTCCCCATGCCCTGGTGTCCCCCATGCTGGTGTCCATCCCGGTGTCCCCCATGCTGGTGTCCCCATGCCCCGGTGTGCATCCCAGAATTCCGATGCCCATATCCCGGTGTCCATCCCAGTGTCCGTCCCAGCGTCCATCCTAGTCTCCCCCACATCCCGGTGTCCCCCATGTCCTGGTGTCCCCCATGTCCCCATGTCCATGCTGGTGTGCCCCATGACAGTGTCCATATCCCCGTGTCCCAAATCCCTGTCCCCCACGTCCCGGTGTCCCCCACGTCCCGATGTCCCTCACATCCCGGTGTCCCCCACATCCCAGTGTCCATGTCCCGGTGTCCCCCACGTCCCGGTGTGCCCCACATTCCAGTGTCCCCCACATCCCGGTGTCCATGTCCTGGTGTCCCCCATGTCCCGGTGTCCCCCACATCCCGGTGCGCCCCACGTCCCGGTGTCCCCCACGTCCCGGTGTGCCCCACGTCCCGATGTCCCTCACATCCCGGTGTCCCCCACATCCCCGTGTCCATGTCCCGGTGTCCCCCACGTCCCGGTGTCCCCCATGTCCCGGTGTCCCCCACATCCCGGTGTCCCCCACGTCCTGGTGTCCCCCACATCCCGGTGTCCCCCATGTCCCGGTGTCCCCCATGTCCTGGTGCGCCCCACGTCCCGGTGTCCATGTCCCGGTGTCCCAAATCCCTGTCCCCCATCCCCGTATCCATCCCGGTGTCCATGTCCCAGTGTCCATGTCCCGGTGCCCCACATCCCGGTGTGCCCCATGTCCCGCTGTGCCCCACATCCCGATGTCCCCCACATCCCGATGTCCCCCACGTCCCGGTGTCCCCCACGTCCCGGTGTGCCCCATGTCCCGATGTCCATGTCCCGGTGTCCATGTCCCGGTGTGCCCCATGTCCCGGTGTCCCCCACGTCCCGGTGTCCATGTCCCGGTGTCCCACGTCCCAGTGTCCCCCATGTCCCGGTGTCCCCCATGTCCCGGTGTCCCCCACATCCCAGTGTGCCCCACGTCCCGGTGTCCCCCACGTCCCCGTGTCCATGTCCCGGTGCCCCACGGGCCGGTGTCCGTGTGTCCGGGCAGGCGCACGGTGCAGGACCGGCAGACGGGGGCGGAGGTGGCCCTGTCGGAGGAGCAGCTGGAGCTGGTGCAGCGCCTGCAGCGGGGACACTTCGGGGACGTCAACTTCGACCCCTACGAGGTGAGACATTCCCAGCGGGAACGGGGGCATCCCTGGGACGGGATTCCCACTGGGAATGGGGCGGAATTCCCACCGGGAATGCGTGGGAGGAGGCCCCAGGGCTGGAATTCCCAAAGGGGATGGGGCTGGAATTCCCACCGGGAATGCGTGGGAGGAGGCCCTGGGCATGGAATTCCCAAAGGGAATGCATGTGAAATGGCCCCAGGGGTGGAATTCCCAAAGGGGATGGGGCTGGAATTCCCACCGGGAATGGGGCGGAATTCCCACCGGGAATGCATAGGAGAAGGCCCTGGGCATGGAATTCCCAACGGGAATGGGGCTGGAATTCCCACCGGGAATGCGTGGGAGGAGGCCCTGGGCATGGAATTCCCAAAGGGAATGCATGTGAAATGGCCCCAGGGGTGGAATTCCCAAAGGGGATGGGGCTGGAATTCCCACCGGGAATGGGGCGGAATTCCCACCGGGAATGCATAGGAGAAGGCCCTGGGCATGGAATTCCCAACGGGAATGGGGCTGGAATTCCCACCGGGAATGCGTGGGAGGAGGCCCCGGGCATGGAATTCCAAAAAGGGAATTCTGAAAGGGGAGGTCCTGGGGCTGGAATTCCCAACAGGAATGGGGCGGAATTCCCATTGGGAATGTGGGGGAGGAGGCCCTGGGCATGGAATTCCCACCAGGAATGCTGGAAGGAGAGGCCCAAGGGATGGAATTCCCGCCAGGAACACCCAAGGGGAGATCCTGGGGGCAGAATTCCCGCTGGGAATGTGGGAGGGGAGATCCTAGGGATGGAATTCCCACCAGGAATGCTGTAAGAGGAGGCCCCAGGGATGGAATTCCCACCAGGAATGTGGGAGGGGAGGCCCCAGGGATGGAATTCCCATTGGGAATGATGAAAGGGGAGATCCTGGGAGCAGAATTCCCAAAGGGAATGTGGGAGGTGCGTCCCTGGGGGTGGAATTCCTGCTGGGAATGAGGGCAGAATTCCCACCAGGAATGCAGGAGGTGAGGCCCTGGGGTGGAATTCCCATTGGGAACGTGGGAGGTGAGGCCCTCGGGGCAGAATTCCCACTGGGAATCCAGGCCGGGGGCTGAGCATTCCCGGTTTTCCAGCCGTCCGTGGATTTCTTCAGCCACGAGGTGCGGATCCACCCGGTGACCAACCGGCCGGCGGACAAGCGGAGCTTCATCCCTTCCCTGGTGGAGAAGGAGAAGGTGGGAGAAAGGAAAAGCCCGGAATTCTGGCGGGAGATCCGGGTGGGGAAGCTGAGGAGGGCGGGAAGATCCCGGTGGGATGAGAATTGGAAAGATCCCAGTGGGATGAGGAGATTGGGAAGATCCCAGTGGGATGAGGAGAAGGGAAAAGCTGAAGAGAACGGGAAGATCCAGGTAGGATGAGGAGGATGGAAAAGCTGAAGAGAGTGGAAAGTTCCCAGTGGGATCAGGAGAATGGAAGGATCCTGGTGGGATGAGGAGGGTGGAAAAGCCCTGGTGGGATGGGGAAACCAGAAAGATCCAGGTGGGATGAGAAGATCGGGAAGATCCAGGTTGGATGGGGAGGACGGAAAAATCCAGGTGGGATGGGGAAACTGGAAAAATCCCAGTGGGATGAGGAGGATGGAAAGATCCTGGTGGGATCAGGAGGATGGAAAATGAGGAGATTGGAAAGATCCCTGTGGGATGAGGAGATTGGAAAGTCCTGCTGGGATCAGGAGGATCCATGGAAAGCTGAGGAGGGTGTAAAAGCTCAGGTGGGATGAGATTGGAAAGATCCCAGTGGGATGAGGAGATTGGAAAGATCCCAATGGGATGAGATCGGAAAAGTCGGGAGCATGGGAAGATCCCAGTGGGATGAGGTTGGAAAGATCCTGGTGGGATGAGGAGGGTGGAAAGATCCAGGTGAGATCAGGAGGATGGAGAAGCTGAAGAGGATGGAAAGATCCCAATGGAATGAGGAGATTGGAAAAGCTGGGAGTGTGGGAAGATCCCGGTGGGATCAGGAGATTGGGAAGATCCTGGTGGGATGAGGAGGGTAGAAAGGTGGGTAGGATGGGGAAACCGGAAAGATCCAGGTGGGATGAAAAGGATGGAAAGATCCTTGTAGGATGTGGAGATTGGGAAGATCCAGGTGGGATGGGGAGAGTGGGAAGATCCAGGTGGGATCAGGAGGATGGAAAAACTGGAGATTGGAAAGATCCCAATGGGATGAGATCGGAAAAGTCGGGAGCATGGGAAGATCCCAGTGGGATGAGGTTGGAAAGATCCTGGTGGGATGAGAAGGGTGGAAAGATGTGGATGGGATGGGGAAACCAGAAAGATCCAGGTGGGATGAGGAGATTGGGAAGATCCTGATTGGATGGGGAGGATGGAAAGATCCAGGTAGGATCAGGAGATTGGAAAGATCCCAATGGGATGAGGAAAATGGAAAATCTGGGAACGTGGGAAGATCCTGGTGGGATGAGGAGGGTGGAGAAACCCCGGTGGAATTGGGAGATTGGGAAGATCCAGGTGGGGTGGGGAGGATGGAAAGATCCCAATGGATTGAGATTGGAAAAATCCAGATGGGATCAGGAGGATCCATGGAAAGCTGAGGAGGGTGGAAGAGCTCCGGTGGGATGAGGAGATTGGAAAGATCCCGGTGGGATCGGGAGATTGGAAAGGTCCTGGTGGGATGAGAAGGCTGGAAAGATCCAGGTGGGATCAGGAGGATCCATGGAAAGCTGAGGAGGGTGGAAGAGCTCCGGTGGGATGAGGAGATTGGAAAGATCCAGATGGGATCTGGAGGATCCATGGAAAGCCAAGGAGAGTGGAAAGATCCTGGTGGGATCAGGAGATTGGAAAGATCCCGGTGGGATCGGGAGATTGGAAAGGTCCTGGTGGGATCAGGAGGATCCATGGAAAGCTGAGGAGGGTGGAAGAGCTCCGGTGGGATGAGGAGATTGGAGAGATCCCAGTGGGATCAGGAGGATCCATGGAAAGCTGAGGAGGGTGGAAGAGCTCCGGTGGGATGAGGAGATTGGAGAGATCCCAGTGGGATCAGGAGGATCCATGGAAAGCTGAGGAGAATGGAGAAGCTCTGGTGGGATCAGGAGATTGGAAAGATCCTGGTGGGATCAGGAGATTGGAAAAGTCCTGGTGGGATGAGGAGGATCTATGGAAAGCTGAGGAGATTGGAAAGACCCCAGTGGGATGAGGAGATTGGAAAGATCCAGACGGGATTTGGGAGGATCCATGGAAAGCTGAGGAGATTGGAAAGACCCCGGTGGGATCAGGAGATTGGAAAGATCCAGATGGGATTTGGAGGATCCATGGAAAGCTGAGGAGGGTGGAAGAGCTCTGGTGGGATGAGGAGGATGGAAAGATCCAGGTGGGATGAGATTTGAAAAATCCAATTCCCATTCCCCATTCCCATTCCCCATTCCCATTCCCCATTCCCATTGTCCCATTACCCCATTTTCCCCCCTCCCTATTTTTCCCAATCCCACCCCCATTATCCCATTCCCCATTGTCCCATCCCCATGTTACCCCTCCCCGTTTCCCCCAATCCCCGTCCCCATTCCCGCGGCATTCCGGCAGGAGCTGGCCTGGCGGCAGCAGGAGCCGTCGGAGCGGCGCCTGAGCTTCGTGCCGCGGCGCTTCCCGAGCCTGCGCGCCGTGCCCGCCTACCCGCGCTTCATCCACGAGCGCTTCGAGCGCTGCCTCGACCTCTACCTCTGCCCCCGCCAGCGCAGGATGCGGGTGGGCACCGTCCCAGAAACCCCCAAAACCCGGGAACGCGGCGCCGGGAGCGCCGGCACGGCCTCCCCGCCCCTCCCGGGAATTCCCGTCCGGAGCCGGGGACGGATCCCCGGGAGCGGCTGGGATCGCTGTGGTGTCCGTCCCGCAGGTCAACGTGGATCCTGAGGATCTCATTCCCAAACTGCCCAGGCCGAGGGATCTGCAGCCCTTCCCCACCACCCAGGCCCTGGTGAGGGATTTTTTGGGGAATGTTCCCCTGGAATTTGGTGGAAATCTGGGATTTGGGGCCTCGGGAAGCAGGGCCAAGGATTCCTGGGAGAGGCTGGGAAAAGGGGCCGATCCCAGCGGGAATTCCTGCAGCTCTGGGAAATGTTCCCGTGAATCCCTGGAAAATGGGGCTGGGGATGGTCTCCCTTTCCCGGGATTTTTGGGAATGGCTCCGGAAAACTTCCCAGGAGTGGCTGAGGGAGCTTGGCAGGGCTTATTCCGGAGAAAAATGGGATTGAAGGGATCCAGAGGGATCCAGGGTGGGATCTGCTCCCAGGGAACAGGGGCAGGATCCCGGGAATGGCCTCGGGTTGGGATTTTCGGGAATATTCCCCTGGAATTTGGTGGAATTCTGGGATTTGGGGCCTCGGGAAGCAGGGAGGGGACTGAGGATGAGGGTTCCTGGGAGAGGCTGGGAAAAGGAATTCCAGCTGGAATTCCTGTGACTCTGGGAAATGTTCTCGTGGATCACTGGAAAATGGGGCTGGGGAGAATCCCTCTTTCCCAGGATTTTTGGGAATGGGTCTGGAGAACTTCCCAAGAACAGCTGAGGGAGCTGTTGGGGCTCATCCCAGAGAAAAGCGGGATTGAAGGGATCCAGGGGGATCCAGGGCAGGATCTGCTCCCAGGGAACGGGGACAGGACCTGGGAGACAGCCTCGGGTTGGGATTTTCAGGAATATTCCCCTGGAATTTGGTGGAATTCTGGGATTTGGAGCCCTGGGAATCAGGGCAGGGACTGAGGCTGAGGGTTCCTGGGAGAGGCTGGGAAAAGGGGCCGATCCCAGCTGGAATTCCTGCTCTGGGAAATGGTCCTGGGGATCCCTGGAAAACAGGGCCAAGGAGGGTCTCCCTTTCCCAGGATTTTTGGGAATGGCTCCAGAAAACTTCCTAAGAGAAGCTGAGGGAGCTCGGTGGGGCTCATCCCAGAGAAAAGTGGGATTGAAGGGATCCAGGGTGGGATCTGCTCCCAGGGAACAGGGACGGGACCCTAGGAACAGCCTTGGGTTGGGATTTTTGGGAATATTCCCCTGGAAGGGGCTGGAATTCTGGGCTGAAATCCCCATTCCCAGGATTTCCCCTCCCTGTGGATGTGGAATGGGGTGGCCTTGGCTGTGCTCTCTCCAGATCCCAAATTCCTCCTCCCTTCCCAAAATCCCAAATTCCTCCTCCCTTCCCGAGCATTCCGGAGCAGCTCCCGGAGGCTCCCAGGGAGCTCCCGGGATTTGGGATTCTCCCTCATTCCCGATTTTCTCCCAGATCTACCGCGGCCACTCCAGCCTGGTGCGGACCCTGAGCGTCTCCCCCAGCGGGCAGTGGTTGGCGTCAGGTACGGATCCCCCCTGGACTGGGAATTCCCGGGATAAATCCCGTGGATCCACAGCCCAGCTCCACCCGGAGCTGCTCCGGGGCCAGCTTTGGGATCGGGGATTTTCCCCCTGGAAAATCCCAACCTCGGCCCCGGGGCAGGATCCTGGGATTGGCTCCATCCTGTGGCAGCCTGGAAAACTCCGGAGCTTTTCCAGCTGCTCTGGGGTCCCAATCCCATTCTCGTTACCCCATTCTCAATCCCATTCCCATTATTGCATTCCCATTATTGCAATCCCATTCTCATTATCCCATTCCCATTCTCCCAATATCCCATTCGTGATCACAATCCTAATCCCATTCCCATTATCCCATTATCCCATCCCCAATCCCATCCGCATTCCCATTTCCATCTCATTCCCATCCTGTTCCCATCTCCATTCCCATCCCATTCCCATTCCCGTTATCCCTTTCCCATCCCCTTTCCCATTCACATTCCCATTATCCCATCCCAATCCTATTTCCATTATCCCATCCCCATTATCCTATCCCGATTCCTTTTATCCCATCTCCGTCATCCCATCCTCATTCCCATTATCCCACCCCCATTATCCCCTTTCCATTATTCCATTATCCCATCCCAATTCCCATTATCCCATTTCCATCATTCCATTATCCCGTCCCCATTTCCTTTATCCCATCCCCATTGTCCCATCTCTATTCCCTTTATCCCATTCCCAATATCCCATTTCCATTATCCCATCCCCATTATCCCACTATCCCAACCCTATTCCCGTTATCCCATTATCCCATTCCCATTATCCCATCCCTATCATCCCATGTCCATCATCTCATCCCCATTCCCATTATCCCATTCCCATTATCCCATTTCCATAATCCTATTATCCCATCCCCATCATCCCATCCCCATTCCCATTATCCAATCCCCATCCCCGTTATCCCATTCCCATTATCCCATCCCCATCCCATTATCCCATCCCCATGCCATTATCCCATTCCCTTTATCCCATTCCCATCATCCCATTCCCTTTATCCCATCCCCATCATCCCGTTATCCCGTTGTTATCCCATCCCCATCCCCTTTATCCCATTCCCTTTATCCCATCCCCATCCCCATTATCCCGTTGTTATCCCATCCCCATTATCCCATTCCCGCTGTTATCCCGCTGTTACCCCGCCGTGTGTGTGTTCCAGGCTCGGACGACGGCACGGTGCGGTTCTGGGAGGTGAGCACGGCGCGCTGCCTGCGCACGCTGACCCTCGGCGCCGTCGTCAAGAGCGTGGCCTGGAACCCCAACCCCGGCGTCTGCCTGCTGGCCGTGGCCGTGTGAGTGATCCCCTGGGATAATTCCCTGATTTCCCTGGAACCCCAACCCCGGCGTCTGCCTGCTGGCCGTGGCCGTGTGAGTGATCCCCTGGGATCATCCCCTGGGATAATTCCCTGATTCCCCTGGCCCCCCGAC